TATGGACCTCTGAGTTTAGAAGTAATCATTATTAACAGTTTAGTAATACATACACACGTGTGCTTCCAAATAATGTGGCATCTTCACATACATTATCTAGTTGTTCCTTGTTCTTTTTTTTAAAAAACTGAAAAATGTGTCAGTGACTTCTATGTATATTTTCCTCATTGCAACTTCCTTAAAACGTCCAAAGAGTAAAAAATACCATAATTTAAGTTTCTTTATTTGTAGACCTTGGTACTTTTAATTTTTCTCTATTGAAGCTCATGTTGATGTTTAAACACTTGATTTTCTCCCTCCCCTTCTCCCCCTCTCCCCCTCTCCCCCGCTCCGTCACTCCCTCTCCCTCTCTTTTTTACCGCCACTATAGATGGGTTTTTTCCAGGCTGGTCTCAAACTCCTGGGCTCAAGTGATCCGCCTGCTTCGGCCTCCCAAAGTGCTGGGGTTATAGGGGACATGCTTATATTTCTGTAGGACAGTTTTACAGAAGTGGAATTTTAAAATTGAAGGCCATGTGCATTATATTTAAGCTAATACTTCCAATCCCCTAGAGTGTTGTTTTATTTTACATTTCCCCACTTTTAGTGAAATTACCCATATAACAACATGAAAGTATTCAAACATGGGAATTATATGTTCTTCTTTATGCTACAGATCTGATATCATTAAAAAAGCATATGCCAAAAATATTTTATAATTTTGATAAACAATTTCTAACCTTAATAACTTTTGTGTGTTTGAGGCTATTAAAAACCTTTGTTATGTAAATGCTCAAGTATGTTTTGGCCTCTACTCTGACAAGTGGGAACAGCATATTCTAGGGATATTATTAATCAAAAGCTCTTGTGTTTTTCTTTATTTTAAAATTTCCTCCATTTAAAAAAAAAAGCCGTAAGTGATGGGTTATGCCTGTAATCTCAGTACTTTGGGAAGCTAAGGTGGGGGGATCACTGGAAGCCAGGAGTTAGACACCAGCCTGAGTCTCCAAGTGAGACCCCATCTCCGCTAAAAATAAAAAACTAGCTGGACAGGGTGACTCATGCCTGTAATCCCAGCACTTTAGGAGGCCGAGATGGGCAGATCACTTGAGGTCGGGAATTTGAGACCAGCCTGGCAAGGATGACGAAACTCCATCTACTAAAAAATACAAAAATCAGCTGGGCGTTTTTGGTGGGTATCTATAATCCCAGCTACTAGGGAGGCTTAGGCAGGAGAATTGCTTGCACCTGGAGGGCGGAGGCTGCAGTAAGCCAAGATCCTGCCACAGCACTCCAGCCTGGGCATCAGAGAGAGACTCCATCTCAAAAAAATAAATAATAAAAATAAATGGTCCAGGCGCGGTGGCTCACACCTGTAATCCCAGCACTTTGAGATACCTAGGCAGGCAGATTACGAGGTCAGAAATTAGAGACCAGCCTGGCCAATATGGTGAAACCCCGTCTCTACTAAGAGTACAAAAATTAGCCAGGTATGATAGCGCACACCTGTAGTCCCAGCTACTCGTGAGGCTGAGGCAGAAGAATCACTTGAACCTGGGAGGTGGAGGTTGCAGTGAGCCGAGATTGCAGGTTCAAGAATCACTTGAACCTGGGAGGTGGAGGTTGCAGTGAGCCGAGACTCTAGCCTGGGCAACAGAGCAAAACTCCATCTCAAAAAAAATAAACATAAGCAAGGCTGTCACTACAGCATCTTGAAGAGCAGGTAAAATGAGAGTATGTATCCCTCACATGGTTTTGTTTACTCTATGGGATTTTCACCCCCTTCTCTCTCTCAGAGGATGGTTTGAATTAACCAGTGACCCCTACCTTAGCCTCAGGCAGAAAAGAATTAGAAGGGCTTCCCATTCTTGTCCTCTCTGATTATCAGTACAAAATCACTTATATCACATCTTTTCTCTTTCATTACATCAAGCCCTACCTTTTCTTCTGACCTCTCATTTTTCTCAGAAGAGAATATTCTTCTTTGCATCAAAGCTGTTGCATAGGTGAGAGACATGCTGATTCCTCACAGACACAATGACATGCCTTTCATATGACAACATTAATTACAAGTAACATCATTTTGTTTTTGTTTTTGTTTTTTGAGATGTAGCATGGCTCTGTCACCCAGGATGGCGTGCAGTGGCACTACCATGGCTCACTGCAGCCTTGATCTCCCAGGCCTAAGCAGTCCTCCCGCCTAAGCCTCCCAAGTAGCTGAGACTACAGGCATGCACCACTGCCCTCCGCTATATTTTTGACTTTTTGTGGAGACGAGGTCTCACTTTGTTGCCCAGGTTGATCTCAAAGTACTGAGCTCAAGCAATCTTCCCACCTCAGCCACCCAGTGTGCTGGGATTACAGGTGTGAGCCACCACACCCAGCCAAGTAACAACATTTTGAGCTAACAAAGGAAGCACAAGAAGTTTTACTTTTTTAGATGAGTGATGTAGTCAGAAATAAACTGTGCATGCTCATATAAAAGCTCTACGGTGAGGAATAACCATTTTCTTTCTTGGGATAATCATTTGTTGTAAAATCAGCTTTTGTTACAACCTAACAAATGAATATGTATGTGTTTTTCGATCTTCGGTTTGGTTTGTTGTATAGTGTTCATTGTGTTCTATCCTGGAATTCTTGTAGTTGAACCAGAAGAATATCAAGCCTCTGAGAGATGCTTACATTTTTCCTATTTTAAACATGCCCTTCTTATTCCAGTTTACTTTTTTAATTGAAATTTGTGCTGAGATAAGTATAGATTCACATGCAGTTGTAACAAATAATACATAGAGGTCCCTTGTATACTTTGCCTAGTTTATCCGAATGGTAACATATGGCAATCAGTTTACTTGCTAATTTTCTTGTTGCAAGTGTTCTAATAGGACCAAGAATAAAAAGAGAATTCTTGATTTAAAAGTTTTCTTACAAGTTAAATATTTAGTATTACAAATGCAAACAAGAATTTAGGGTCCAATGAAATGATGCTAGGAATAATAGTAATAGTGGGCCGGGCGTGGTGGCTCACACCTATAATCCCAGCACTTTGGGAGGCCAAGGCAGGTGGATCACTTGAGGTCAGGAGTTCAAGACCATCCTGGCCAACATGGGAAACCCCGTCTCTATTAAAAGTACAAAAATTAGGCAGGCATGGTGGCGCGTGCCTATAATTCCACCTACTCAGGAGGCTGAGGCAGGAGAATCACTTGAACCCTGGAGGCAGAGATTGCGGTGAGCAGATATCGAGCCACTGCACTCCAGCCTGGGTGACAAAGTGAAATTCTGTCTCTAAATAAATACAGTAACCAAAAAAATATTCAAAAATAGTAACTTTTGTGAATGTTCCTGTCTGGAAATTGCTTTCTGTTACATTGCCAAGGTGCCCAAATGTCTATGGATCACAGTGGATTTTACTTGCTTCCTAACCTAGATTTTAAATAAAAATACTGCTTTTTAAAAGGTCATTTTTCCTAAACCTATAAAAGGATCAGCTGTGTTATTTTGTACTTTCAACTGAGCAATAAGACTACTTTCAGCAGGGCGCGGTGGCTCACCCTTGTAATCCCAGGCATTTTGGGAGGCCAAGGTGGGTGGATCACCTGAGGTCAGGAGTTCAAGGCCAGCCTGGCCAACATGGTAAAGCCCTGTCCGTACTAAAAATACAAAAATTAGCTGGGTGTCATGGCTTGCACCTATAATTCCAGCTATTAGGGAGGCTGAGGCATGGAGATTGCTTGATCCAGGACGTGGAGGTTGCAGTGAACCAAGATTGTGCCACTGCACCCCAGCCTGGGCAACAGAGGGAGACAGAGTCTCAAAAAAACAACAACAACAACAACAAAAACAAAGCAATGGGCTAGGAGCAGGTAGTCAAACCAAAGGAAGATTGAATGGAAAAATTCCTAATTTTAAAGGAAAAGATGTCATAACTTATCAGGGAAATGGAATTTTTCTTTACATTGTGTTTGGAAAAAAACTTTACATGTGTAGTTTGTTTTGTTTGTTTGAGATAGTCTCCCTCTGTTGCCTAGGCTGGAGTACAGAGGTAAGATCTCATCTCACTGCAACCTCCGTCCCCTGGGTTCAAGCAATTCTCCTGCCTCAGTCTCCCGAGTACAGGTGCCCACTACCTCGGCTGTTTTTTGTATTTGTAGTAGAGACAGGGTTTTGCCATGTTGGTCAGGCTGGTCTCAAACTCCTGACCTCAAGTGAGCCACCAAGGCTGACCTATGTTACCTATATATGTACAGAGGATATTAAGTGCTGCCGTGGAGGAAGTCTTCAACAACTTTGTACTGTATTAGCTCATGTGTTTCATTCAGCAATTTCCTAACATGATCTTGGTGCCAGCTTACTGAAGGAGCCTTGGCTGTGGTCCTAAGTAATTAATGTCTTTGCAACTGTGATGCTCTAGCAGTTTTTGGACACAAGCCTTTGGAAAAGCCCCTCTAATATTATTTTCTTCCCCTTCATTTCCTCATATCCCTTCAGCTCTTCATTCAGGCAACCCTAACAAGGCTGCTTATTCAGCTCAAGGACAGTCTCCTTGTTAGTTTATTTGATGTGATACAGTCTCCAACACTGTATGACCTTTGAATACACTGTTACATTGACTTGCTTTATTGTCCCTAACCCTTTGGTTCTTTTGTGGTCCTGTCAATTTTTGAACTTTTATATCTTTTGAGGAGAAGTTGCATTATTGACACCATGTATGTATGATATGTTAATAAATACCAGCACTTAAGAATCTGAAATGTAAAGGTATAATGGAGGTAAGAATCTAAAAGTGACATTATTAACCGTAACTTCAGATGAGTTACTGGTTGGCATAGCTCTTTTTTATGGACTCCTTATTCTTATTTGGCATGTGGTTAGAAAATTTCATTTTAATCCTTACATTTCTCTAAACTACTGCCATAAAGCCAATATCCATGATTTTTATTATAGCTTTGAGATAATTTGATGAAATTTTCCTATTTTAGATGTTCAATGGTTTTTGTTTGTTTGTTTGTTTGTTTTTGAGGTAGGGATTACAAATCTTTATTTTTCCAAAGCTCCCTGGGTGATCTATATGTATAACAGGCTCTGAACCACTGATGCAGAGCACCGTCATTTCTTGATTGGAATGGATGCCTGAGAATAGTAAAACAACAAAGTTAAAACATGCTGACTTTTTTTAGACCCTGAAATTACTGATTTGGTGATGGGTGTTAACATTCACAGTAAAAACCATTAATCCAGTGTGGTCACGGCTTGAGAGAGCCATCCGCTTTCCCCAGATCGTGGATGGCCTTGTTCTCCAGCAGTTCCATCTTCTTGTCGCGTGGTGTCACTGCATTGTTCAGCATTGCTCTAACCACAGTCGCCACAGGCACAGAATGCCCACTAGCCCAAGAACTAAGGAGCCAAAGAACTTTCTAACGAACCATTCACCTGGGTGAGATTCTTGCCTATCACATAACAGAGCTCCAGGCCTAAATACAGAGTAACGTTCAAATTTTAATTCTTCAGCCTTGGCTTCCACTTCTCCCTTAACTTGCAGATATAAAAAACTGCTTGACTTATCAGCTCTTTTAGAGGATAGCAAGCTGAAATGTTTGCACCCTCCAGGTTTTGCCAGCTCTGCAGACCTAAGCACATAATCTCGGTCAACCCGAACAAATCCCACCACCCCGGCTTTCGCTCTGGTGGTACCCAGGCAACAGAATCCAACATCATGACCTTGAAAGGCAGAAGCATAGTCATCCAACTTTTCAAAGTCCACCACTTCTTGATTCACATTTTTATAAGGTTCCTCCTCGAAGGTGAGCTTCCTCCTGCCAATAAGCGTGACTTTGGAAAACAGGGCCTGCTCCAGGATTTCCTTTAAGAGCACTCTGCCGGTTTCTCTGCTGGTGCCCAAAACAAAGACGGGTTTTTTCTGCATCCTGAAGTCTTTTCAAAGCTTCGATAGTGCTTCTGTTTCGGCCTTGCTAGGGCCAGCCCCCGGCCCCGGGTCCTCATGCCGCAGCAGGAGCAGGGCGGCCACCAGCTGCCGCGCTCACCAGCCATCATAGCATCCCACCTTCCCTGTTCAATGGTTTTTAGTGTATTTACAGAGTTCCAAAATTTACAATTGTATAATAATTTTATAATCTAATCATTAGATAATCATGTAATAGTCTAATTTTAGAATATTATGCCACTCCTAAAAGAGACCTTATGCCCATTAGTTAGAAACTCCCATTTACCTGTCCTCCATCTCTTCACTGACCCCACTCCCCATCCCTAAACAACTGTCAATCCATTTTCAATTTCTATAGGTTTTCCTGTTCTAGATAATGTTTCAGTTTCATTCATATTGTGATATATATCATCCCATTTATGGTGAAATAATCCATTCTAGAGCCATACCACATTTAGTTTATCCATTCATTGGTTGGTGGGTATTTAGAGTTGTTTACACTTTTTGGCTATTAAGAATAATGCTACTTCAAACATTTGCATTCATGTTTCTGTGTGGACATAAGTTCTTAGTTTTCTTGGGTATATACCTAAAAGTGGAATCACTGAATAATACGGTAACTGTTTAGCTTTCAAGAAACTGCCAAGCTGTTTTCCAAAGTGGCTTCACCATTTGATATTCCCACTAACAATATGTGAAGGTTCTAATTTCTGTAAATCATTTCTAATTCTTACTGTCTTATTTTACCCATTTTCTTGGGTGTGAGTTTGCTATCTCATTGTGATTTTGATTTGCATTTCTTTTTTTGTTTGTTTGTTTGTTTTTGAGACGGAGTCTTGCTCTTGTTACCCAGGCTGGAGTGCAATGGCACGATCTCGGCTCACCGCAACCTCCACCTCCTGGGTTCAGGCAATTCTCCTGCCTCGGCCTCCTGAGTAGCTGGGATTACAGGCATGCACCACCATGCCCAGCTAATTTTTGTATTTTTAGTAGAGACGGGGTTTCACCATGTTGACCAGGATGGTCTCGATCTCTTGACCTCATGATCCACCCGCCTCGGCCTCCCAAAGTGCTGGGATTACAGGCTTGAGCCACTGCGCCCGGCCCTGATTTGCATTTCTTTAATGAGCACTGGTTTGGAGAATCTTTTCATGTGATTCTTAGCTATTTGCACATCTTTGGAGAAATGTCTACTCAAATTCCTTTGCACATTTTAAAATTGGATTATTTTCACTTATAAGTGTTTTTCATATATTCTAAATATGAGATCTTATAGCATTTACAATATTTTCTCCTGTCCTGTAGGTTGTCTTTTCATTTACTTAAAAATAGTATTCTTTAAAGTCTAGAAGTTTTAAATTTTGATAGTTAATTTATTCCTTTATACTTTGGTGTGATATCTAACCCCCAAGGTCACAAAGATTTACTGCTATGTTTTGTAAGTATTTTGTAGTTTTAGCACTTAGAGTTAGGTATAATTCAATTTAACTTTTTTTGTATGGTGTGAGATAGGGATCTAAAATCATCCCTTTAGAAAAAAAGTCATCCTTTTATGTGTGGATATTCCGTTGTTCCAGTACCATTTATTGAAAACACCTCTTGCCACAATCAAATTGTGTTCTAATAACTCTTATCAAAAATCTATGACCAGCTCTTTTTGTGCCTCCGTAATGGTGTACATGAATGTCCTGACCGATGCTCTTAAGAGCATTAACAATGTCAAAATGAGAGGCAAACCTCAGGTTCTTAGAAGGCTGTACCCCAATGTTAATGTCTAGTTTCTGACTGATGATGAAGCATGGTTACAATGGTGAATTTGAAGTCATTGAGATCACAGAGCTGGGGAAATTGTTGTGAACCTCACAGGCAAGTTAAACAAGTATGACCAGCTTCAGATTTCATATGCAACTCAAAGGCCTAGAAAAGTGGCAGAATAATCTGTTTCCATGTCATCAGTTTGGCTTCATTATACTGACAACTTTGGCTGGCATCACAGACCGTGAAGAAGCAAGATGAAAACACATAGGAGGGAAAACTCTGGGATTCATCTTCTTGGGGATATAATACATACAAATAGAATGTCTCAACAGACAAAAAACCAATTGATCATAAGTATAAAGTTTTATTTCTGTTCTCTCAATTCTATTCCTTGGTTCCATATGTCTCTCCTTATGCTAGTACTATACTGTAGAGCTTGCTGTAGTTTTGTAGTAAGTTTTCAATTTGTGAAGAAAAGGTCCTTCTACTTTTTTTGTTGTTGACTATTCTGGATCCTTTTTACTTCCATATACAGTGTAGGTTCAGTTTTGTCCATTTCTGTACAAAGACAGCTGGAATTTTGATAGCTATTGCATTGCATCTATATATCAATTTGGTGGTATGGCCATTTTAGCAATATAAAGCCTTGGCCAGGCGTGGTGGCTCACACCTGTAATCTCAACACTTTAGGAGGCCAAGGCAGGCAGATCACTTAAAGCCAGGAGTTTGAAACCAGCCTGGCCAACGTGGTAAAACCCTGTTTCTACTAAAAATACAAAAATTAGCCGGGTGTGGTGGCACATGCTTGTAATACCAGGTACTTGAGAGGCTGAGGCACAAGAATTTCTTGAACCCAGGAGGCGGAGGTTGTAGTGAGCTGAGATTGTACCACTGCACTCCAGCCTGGGCGACAGCAAGACTCAGTCTCCAAAAAACAGTCTTACTTATGAACATGGGCTGTCTTCCATTTATTTAAATGATCTTTTTTTTTTTCTTAACAATATTCTCTAGTTTTCAGTGTCCTATAGTGAATGAAATTGTTTTATTTTTAGTTTATTTTAGTGTATAAAAATGGGATTGATTTATCTTATGTAAGCTTGTGCTGAACTGGCTTATTCTAGTAGCTTTTTAGTAAATTCTTTTTGATTTTTCTATGTATAAGTTCATATTTGTCTTTATCTTGTCATTTTTATAATGTAAATTATTTTTGCTGATTCTTATTTCTGTAATCCACAAAAGACCTTTAAATTTAGAGTTTAGGGGTTTTTTTGTTTTCAGACAGAGTCTCACTTTGTTGCCTAGGCTGGAGTGCAGTGGACTTGGCTCACTGCAACCTCTGCCTCCTGGGTTCAGGTGATTCTCGTGCCTCAGGCTTTGAAGCAGCTGAAATCACAGGCACGTGCCACCATGCTAGCTAAATTTTTTCTGTAGTTTTACTAGAGACAAGATTTTACTATGTTGGCCATGCTGGTCTCGAATTCCTGGCCTTCAGTGATTGTCTGCCTTGGCCTCCCAAAGTGCTGGGATTACAAGCATGAGCCACCATTCCTGGCTAATTTTTTTTTTTTTTTTTTTTTTGTATTTTTAGTGGAGATGGGATTTCACCATGTTGACTAGGCTTGTCTCGGACCCCTGGCCTCAAGTGATCTGCCCACCTTGGCCTCCCAAAGTGCTAGGATTACAGGCATAAACCACTGCTCCCGGCCTAGAATTTAGGTTGATGGAAAATTCTTACTCTCATGCCCTGTCAGGTAGATATATGACTTTTTAATTTTTTCTTATGGTTCCTTGTATACAGCAGGTAATCATCATTGTGAAAAATAAGGGCAAAATCCAAATTGTGTTGTATTTAAGCTTCATCAGAATAGATGGTACCTTAGATGTGGAATATAATTGTCATAACCTTAAATTTCTAGTGGTGCAATGTTTACTTTGGCTGTTTTTATCTTGATTATATTTTGAGAGTACTAGAGACCTCAGGCTTAATTTATAAAAGATCTTTAGGCAAACGGAATAGAATATGGCAGGACAAAGCTGTGAAAGTAAGTTGTATGCTGTGGAAATGACCGTTTCTATCTAGTCTGGAAAAGTCTAAGTCACTAGTAATAGAATATATGCAGAAGTCCTGACGGTCTTCACGAATTAGACTGTATGTCGGCCTGAGCAAACTCCGTCTTTGAGTGAATGCTGGTTGTATAGGAGGAAAGCAGTGAACCAGAAGTAAAGAGTTTGGGTGATTCTTATAGTTTGGCAAGAGCAAACTTATATGACCTGTTGAGAAATTATTTAACTCTTAGTTTCTGTGTCTACCTCTGTAAAAATGAAGAGGTATGGCTGAAGAGGGGCTAATGTCCTACTCAGACCAAAAGTTCAGCATTTCTTCTTTCTCTAGTCTCATAGTTGCCCATAAATTGACTGAAATCTTACATTGGGATCACTTGGCAGCCTTTAAAATATGTGTATATCAATATCTGGGTTTGGTTCTCTTGAGTTTCTAATTTTTAATTTGTTGGGGTAGTATCTCATACTAGAGAGCTGTTAAAAAAAAAAAAAAAAAAAAAAAACTCCCCTGGTGATTCTTACTTGCAAATTAGTTAAAGACCACTGACTGCTTTATCAGCATAAAAGGTTAAGAGCAACTTAATGTCAAGTAATAGTTTCGGTCTCCCATTATTTTTTAAATGATGAAATATGATGGTGATGGAAATAGCAAGAGTAAAGTAATGTTACAGAATTTTTATGGTTTATGAAGTAATTTGATATGTTAAGTCACTGAACAGCTGAAGAGCAGTCCTGTGAAACTAGGAAAGTGCTGATCACCCCCATTTAGCAAATGAAGGAATTAAGTGACTTGCTCAAGGTTATTGTGCTACTTAGAGACAGAGTCTGGGACTGGAGGCACATCTGACTGTATTCCTATTAAGCTATCTGTTAGGATTATGTATGATAGATAATCTCAAAGACTTTTGGTCCCTTCTTTATGTGTTTAATTATCTTTGAAATGGTACAATTACTAACTCAGAAAGGTGAATAAAGGTTAATAATCCAAAGTTATGTGTCTATATTACTCTTTAGGCTAATGACTTTAAAAGTTCCCTATGTATTTTAAATTATGGTTTTTAATTATAGTAAACTATATATTATATGAATTATGTAATAAAAGTAATTTTTAATGGCCACCAATTGAGGTAGAAAACAGACTGGGTGGGAACAGGGTGAAACTAATTGCGTAATATGGTAATGACTCAAGTTGTCACATCAAGTTGGGTGTTCACTTGGCTTGTGTTCCCTGGAAGTTATGGCTGTAGATACACCAGAAGACCCATTCTTCAACTTTCTCCCTTGCGTTAATGGTGATTGCTTTAATTTTTATGTATCCTTTCCAACTCCTCCCACTCCCATTTTTAAAAAGGCAGGAAAATATAACTTACGGGCACTATCATACTTTGATTCGCTGTGGTACTGTTGTGCTGTTCCCATGCTCATATATGTGGGTAGAACAGTCTATCCTTTGGTGCAATCACTTTGGATACTTTCGGTCTCCGTGGCTGTGGTTTCCATTAGTTCTTTGTATGCGTGCCTCTTCATGCCTTAGTGTTCCTGGTAGCTAGCTGGTGAATCATCAGTGAGCTGGGCTTCGGAAGTGGTGCTTTGTGGTGGAGTTGATGGTGAGGCTTACTTCTGTCCTTCCTCTCCTCTTAAGAATCTCAGGGATGTGAGGAAGCCCTGTGTGTAATTCTGCAGTAATCTCACTGCCTTTCAACTTTTGGCTTTCATGGAAGTGTGAGACAGAACTGCTACGGTGTTCTCACCTGTCTTAGGAAAGACAGCTCTGAGAAGTATAAGAAAGGTCATCTTGAGAAATTCTGTTAAGTAACTAATGTTTTACAGTAATTATTCAACATTGTCTATTCCTATTGGTTCACTGTGCTTTCTCTCCCTTTAGCCCCCCAGGTTCGCCTAATAGTCTTGGCTACTTCCCTACAGCTGCTAATCTTAGCGGTGTCCCTCCACAGCCTGGCACGGTGGTCAGAATGCAGGGCCTGGCCTACAATACTGGAGTTAAGGAAATTCTTAACTTCTTCCAAGGTTACCAGGTCAGTAGCTTGAAGGAGAATAATCCTCAGTGCCCTTATTACTTAAGTTGATTTGCCTAAAGAATGCAGTCAGGAAAGAAACTGATTCTGTGAAACTCCTGTGTGTATATATGCTAACGGATTTGCTTATGGAAACAAACAAATCTGGAGTCACTGTTGGGGACCAAATTCAGACTCATCCCTTTGTCAGAAACTAAGGCTTTTCCATATCATCTTAAGTCTTCCAACTTAATCTGTTGGTTATTTTTTGAAAAGTGAGGTATTACTTTGGGAAAGCTGTTTAGGGCATATGGCAGTATGAGTTTTCATTTAGAATAGGATTGGCTAAGGGGTTTTACTCAAAGTCGAGTGTCAAATCCCTGACTAAACCAATAAGTAGTACTTAAACATGGATTTTAAAGGTGAGTATTTAAAACATGCTCAGAGGCCACTGTATAACCTGAAGAAAAAAAATTGCCTAACTCCTAGGAGACTCATGAGTCTTTAAGTGGTAACACCTAAGAATAAGCTGTCGGGTATTTGGCAAGCCTTTCATAAAATGATCTGGTATTTATTCTTGTGACGCTGATGTTTGCTCTTGGCAGTTTTTTTCTACCCCATTCTGTGTCCATCAGCTGTTCTCTCACTTAGGCTAAAGAATGAGATGATTTTTAGTTAGGATTCTTTAACGGTGAACATTGCCGTCTCTTCTAAGCAGATACCTTTCTTTCTTCAAGTCACATAATTACCTAAGTCTTAAATTCCTTCTTTTCTGCCATGTCTAAAAAATAACTTGTCTTTTATCGTACTAATCACAAAAATTGTCCTCTTTCCTCCTGAATCTGAACGTTGCTTGAATCTTCAGAGTTGAGAACCTGTTTTCAAGATAATAGTCACATTCTAAAATAGCCCTTGAGCATTTTCATGGCAGCATTACAAGGGTTGTGTCTGTAGAGGCTATTTGATGATTAGAATGGGTTTACAAGCTTGGCATCAATGAGTCATGGAGGACTGTGATCTCAGCTAAAATTATCTCAGGGGTGATGCTACTGGCCCAAACCTACCAAGTTACTGTCATTTTCTCAGGGACTTTTAAACATACAAAGGACAATTTCTGACAAAATATGTGGCTGATAGTGAAAGGCTGAAGGAAAGTGGAGGTCAGCAGATACTTACTCTTCCCTAAGCAATTTTGCTGTCTTCAGAAGACTTTGAAAGGGATTAAAAAGTTAAACTTCCTGTCTGATTCATTAGATTATAAAAGGAAGATTTTACTGAAAGCTTATTGAAAAAGTTGCTTATTCTTATGGAGAAAACATTTTGACCTGTGTATTTTGTTGTTTCCATTGTTTTCCAAGTGAAGAAAGGTTTTAGTAGTCAGCTGAATTAATTTCTTTTTTGTTTGACTAACTTTTACATTCACACTGAATAGAATTAGGTAGGCTTATGTATAAATTAGTAATGAGATTAACCTAAATTGCTCTTTATTATTAAGAGTGTCAGCCGGGCATGGTGGCTTATGCCTATAATCCCAGCACTTTGGGAAACTGATGTGGGGAGATCACTTGAAGTCAGGAGTTCAAGACCAGCCTGGCCACCATGGTGAAACCCCATCTCTACTACATACATAAAAACTGGGCCGGGTGCGGTGGCTCACACCTGTAATCCCAGCACTTTGGGAGGCCGAGGCAGGTGGATCACAAGGTCAGGAGTTCATGACCAGACTGACCAAGATGGTGAAACCCCACCTCTACTAAAAATACAAAAAATTAGCCAGGCATGGTGGTGGGCGCCTTTAATCCCAGCTACTCAGGACGCTAAGGCAGGAGAATCACTTGAACTCCGGAGGTGGAGGTTGCAGTGAGCCAAGATCCAGCCTGGGTGACAGAGTGAGGCTCCATCTCAGAAAAAAAGAGTGTCATGGCTGGCATTTGTGGGTATTTATTTTACCAAACCATGCAGTAAGGGTTGTTTCTATGTTTCTGACCAAAAGATTCACATTCCTCAAAATTGAAATAAGATAACTTCAGTCTGTAGCAGTTTTTCTTTGTAATAACTTCTTTGAGCCATTCAAGGTTGGAATCGAGTTGTCTGGTATGACCAGAAACAAAGATTGTGCAATATTATTTCAATATGTCATCTCAAGGCATTTGGCCTTCATTTCTGAAGTGCTTAGAATTTACTCACTGGATCAATGAATTAGGATTATATAGGAACTTCAGTTATCTAATTCAACCTATCAAATTATTCTCATATATTCTTCAGTAATTTGATCTTTGAGGCAGTCATAATGCATGCACTAAAAAATCTTTATACCTAACCCAATTTCATATCATTCTTACATAAAATGACTATTTTCTACTGTCTTGAAGAGTCCATGCCTTCTTGTTTCCTGTTCTCAATTAAATTCACTATGGGGTTCCAGCTTCTTTAGATTTGGCAACCAAGATGATAAAATCGATGGATAACATCTTCTAAAAACTTGTTCATTTAAGCGTAATCTGTGTTCACCTAGCACATATCGCTGTTGCCAGCTTAATGGGAGGTTTTAATTTTATTTCTAGTTATTTTATATAATTATATAACAACTATGTAACTAAGCAAATAGGCAATAATTGGTTGAATAAATAAAATTTCTTTTTTTCTTTTTTTTTTTTTTTTTTAGCTTATTTATATAGTTATTTTATATAATTATATAACAACTATGTAACTAAGCAAATAGGCAATAATTGGTTGAATAAATAAAATTTCTTTTTTTCTTTTTTTTTTTTTTTTTAGACGGTGTCTCGCTGTGCTGCCCAAACTGGAGTCCAGTGGTGCAGTCTCGGCTCACTGCAGCCACCACGCCAACCTCTTTTTCTCTTTTCTATCTGTTCTGAAGCTGAAGAAATTTGATGGTCTCTGATTCTGTCTCTTAAAAATACATGTCTTAGGCTGGGTACACGGTGGCTCATGCCTGTAATCCCAGCACTTTGGGAGGCCAAGGCAGGTGGATCACGAGGTCACGAGTTCAAAACCAGCCTGGCCAACATGGTGAAACCCCCGTCTCTACTAAAATACCAAAATTAGCCCAGCACAGTGGCATGCACCTGTCATCCCAGCTACTCAGGAAGCCAAGGCAGGAGAATCACTTGAACGCAGGGGGAAAGTTGCTGTGAGCCAAGATGGCACCACTGCATTCCAGCCTGGGCGACAGATTAAGACTCTGTCTCAAAATAATAATAATAATCCTGATGTAATAATGGCATATATAATTTTATAAATTATCTTCAAATGTAATTTTTTATGTATTTTCCCCCAACCTTTAACAAAATTTCTTACATAAAACTAGTCTAGTCCAGGCCCAGTGGATCACCTGAGGCCAGGAGTGTAATACCAGCCTGGCCAACACGGTGAAACCCCGTCTCTACTAAAAATACAAAAACTAGCCAGCCATGGCAACACACGCCTGTAGTCCCAGCTCGTCAGGAGACTGAGGCAGGAGAAGCACTTGAACCCAGGAGGTAGAAGTTGCAGTGAGCTGAGAATGCAACATTGCATTCCAGTCTGGGTGACAGAGCAAGATTCTGTCTCAAAAAAACAAACTACCCTAAGTTTGTGTCTTCCATACTTCATCTGGGGTGGAGGTAAGGCCAGAAAGACCAAGGATTTACAAAGACAAACTACCATGAAAATACTTGGTAATGAGGATATCATTCTGGTCCTTAAAGAAACCTGTGTGTATATTTTAGATGATGGCCTTTCACACTGAATGGATTCTCAGGTATCCTTACATAAGTCCCTTAATATTTTCATTGGCTCTTTGCATGACCCTTTACTGTCAATGTCTTTTACATTTTCAATAAATGCTAGTTTTTGTTTCTCTTCAAAGTACTGACTTTATTCATTGTTTCTTTGGACTTCTCACTACTAACAGTTTTACTTGCTGCCCTATTGAATTAGATTGATATTACAAATACATCAAATGCTATCTAAAATTCACTGCATTGTTTGGAGATACTGGGTATTGAGCTTATTGTAAAATGTCTTGCAAATAACTAGTGCTCAAATATTTGTTTTTTTTTTGTTTTTTTTTTTGTTTTTTTTTGAGACGGAGTCTCACTCATGTTACCCAGGCTGGAGTGCAATGGCGCGATCTCGGCTCACCGCAACCTCCGCCTCCTGGGTTCAGGCAATTCTCCTGCCTCAGCCACCTGAGTAGCTGGGATTACAGGCACATGCCACCATGCCCAGCTAATTTTTTGTATTTTTAGTGGAGACGGGGTTTCACCATGTTGACCAGGATGGTCTCGATCTCTTGACCTCAT